TTATCTCTGGTAGTGTTCGTGCTGATGTGCACTATGAAGTATATGAAGCTACAAGTGTAAAAGTGATGAATTCCACACTTTGGTTAGCAAAAATGTAAATACCAGTTTTCAGTGTAATATGAAGCTATAGTAATATTTTAAAAGGAATTTTTTTATCATGTAAATAAAACTGCCCTGACTGGCTTTCATAGAAGTGTACAATTTTTTAATTTCCAAATATTATAGTAAAGTAAATAAAATTAACATTTAGAACCATGATTCTGTATTTGAAACAGCACTTTTATTACCATGCAGAGGAACGTGGTTAAGAATAAATGGTTAATATAAATGTTTTGATCAAGCTCTTATTTTAATCAAGTTACTTGTGTTTCAATGTCAATCACTGTTTTGCAGTACCAGTTGTAAAGCAGACTTGGGAGAGAGAAGCTGCCCTCATTGAATACTACAGTGATTATGCAGACATCTCCATTCCTACTATAGATTTAGGCATACCTAATACTGACAGAGGTGAGCTGTTGACTGTTGTCAGTTTTTGCACAAATGCTGTGAGTGTGAAAGCGTGGTGCACTGATATACTTCAAGAGAAAAAAAATCGGTATTGGAGTAAGAATAATAACTCTTGATTTATTGACAATCTTCTATGAGATCAACAGTAGCAGAAGTGATAAATTTTTTTCAGAAGACCTCAGGCAGTACTAACTGGTTACTGAGCATAAACTACTTGCCATATGATATTCAAATATTATATGTTTGTGCCTAGTATGTCTCTTTTAAGCACAAAACCTAAATGTTAAGATTGAAGCATATTTAATGGTAAATAATAGGGATTGAAATTAATTTACTTTGTGTTTGAATAGAAAAAAAGGCTATGGATGTGATGACTTTCATAAGTTTATTAATGTTGATTATTTTCTTTCATTTGTTCTGTTGTTCTTGGGCTTAGAGTCTACAGGATATTAGCTTCTGAATTAGAGGTGTCCAGGCAGTGGGCTGTTAGCTTTGTCTGACCCACTAGGTCAGTTGTTCTGATCTCTGGGTTATTTCTGCTCTTTATTTTTTTGTCCTCCACAAGGTCTTTCAGAGACAGAGGTTTTCTATTTGCACAGGTGCAGTGGGGCATGTGAAACCAGAGTGTGTTTTCAGGAGGTATCAGGCCTGCTGGGCATGTGTGGATCATTTGTAGAAGCCAGGCCCAGTGGTTCTAGTCATGCTAGGGGGAAGGGACCTTCCACATTTCATGATGGAATATAATACAGACATCTTAGATTTCATTTTGTAAATGCTCATATATCAGCCTAGATTAAGTTCACAGTTTGGCAAAATCCACGATGCCAGGAGTTCCTTCATTTCGGAAGCATAGAGTTACTTCATTTTTCTCAAAAAATATTTTAACTGGAATAGCTTCACATCCAATATCCTATCCTTATTTTTAATGATTGTTTCATAATTGTAATATTGATAGCTATAATTGCATGAGACAATGGACTGGGATGAATAAAGACTGACTGCAATTAGCTTTTTCCAAGATCTTTCTAAAGAAGATTCAGTAGATGTCTGAAACTTCTTCTTTCTCTAGTCCTGCTTATTCTGAGCAAGAGTGTTTCAGTTCTCCTGAAACAAAGCGTGTCTTACCTCTCAACTTCATTACAGTCTCATGATAAATTTCAAGACCTTTCCTTGGAGGCAGTTATCAGGACCTGAGTTGCCGGTGATGAGTACAATAGATTAATATAGACTTAAATGTTTATATAAAAGCAGTGGAGTTGCCTGGTGTATCATGAAATGCTATGAAAGTATCTTGGAGTATTTTGCAGAACATGTTTCTATCACAGTCTTCTCATTTTACAGTTTTTGAAATTAAAAATAGCAGTGTGACGGGTATTGTCCAACAGCTTCACAGCTTAGCTGGAATAAAGCTTGTTTTAATTCAAAGAATTTCTATCCTTCAGCATCCTTTGAAAGTGTGTTCCTGCATAGAAAGCAGTGGTTGTGCTGGAACAGTTCCTGCAAACAACTATTCAGCATAACAAAGGTTGTAATTGCGTCTCAAATATTTTGCCAGTTGCTTCCACAATGTTTTACATAGTGCAGCAGAACATTTCTTTAAGTCATGAATAATTGTTTATTACAAAATCTTGTTTTATTTAAACGTACATTCTGTTACTTCTCTTTCTTTAGGTCACTGTGGGAAAACATTTGCCATTTTGGAAAGGTTTTTAAATCGTACCTCTCCCAGAACCCCTTGGCTGGTCATAGTGGATGATGACACACTGATCAGGTATACACTGCAATATGTTAGGAGTTTCTACTGTTCATGTCAATAGGAGTTTTAGCAATATTCATCTCTTCTGTGTTTGAGAGACACAGCTGTTTTATTAGTTACATAGCTTGATATTGCTTTAAGAAGAAAATTGTCACTTGCCTTCAACATTCTTTGACAGATATGAAAACCAATGTAATCTTTTAACTTTGCTAAAACGGTACATATTTTATTATAATATAAATCATGTAGTCTGAATATGATTATACATTGTAATTCCTCTGTGTAGGTACGTCTGAGCTGATTTGTTTTAGTCTTTTGCTAATACCTTTCTAAGATGTGTTCCTCACATAAATGTGTCAGAAGAAACGTTCCATGAGCTGGGGTCGGTTGTCTGAGCCACCCAGAATGGTGTCCAGGGATTTGCCTTAGAAAAATAGCTCCCATTCACATAAAATCTGACACTGCAGTATAAGCAAAAAAAAGCATGGTGGTCAATGAGCAGGATCACAGGGTCATGGATATGAGAATAAGTGGTTCAAAACAATCCATTAAATCATGTGATGGAAGAATTTGAAAGATAATGTAACTGTAGATAAAGCAAAATTCATATAACTAAATCTGCCTTTTTCAGTTTGTACATGTTCAGAGATAATTTGCAAAGATATCACCATTTCTTGGAAAAAAATAGTTTCATGTTTTCTCTGAGATGAGACACAGTTTTGCTGGCAAACTTCACCTACTTCAGAAAAATATTTTAAGCTACTTGATTCCTCACTTGACCAAGGAGTCATTTTTCATAGTAAATTTCTGGTTAACAGTTTGTATCTCTGGGGGTGTTTTTTGCTATAATTTCTGAATTTGTCCTGTCATCTTTGTGCTGTTTACTAGAATGTTATTTAGGCTAGTAACGTTTTTCAAAATGAATGTTTACATGTTTATTTTTTAAATGGATTTTCATATTCTAGTATCTTCAGACTCCGAAAATTGCTGAGCTGCTATGACCCAGATGAACCAGTATTTCTTGGAGAACGTTATGGTTACGGCTTGGGAACAGGAGGATATAGTTATATCACTGGAGGAGGAGGGTAATTGATTTAAACTTCTACTGAGATCTGCATTAGTTCCTGCTTTGAGTGCAAAGTACTTTACAACACAATCAGCTTCAATGGGAAAAGTTATGTTTTCCCCAAATGTGTGCAGTTTACCTCACACCTTCTGTGTAGCAACACATGCTTATCACACAGTCCCCAACTCTTCCCTTCTGCTCCCAGGCTCTAGTTTATTAATCCTCTGGGCTGACTACGGAGATACAACTTCCTATTGTGCTCTTCATTTATTTTTTTTTTTTATTTTATGTGCAGTCTTCAAAGTTGCTATGAGTCTTTTACAGCTTTAAGCTAACAGTATTCTCAGGTCAGTCTTTTTGCCTTAGCCATCAGTGTTTGTAGAAATTTTGCCATGCCCCCGTGTCAAGCAAAGGATTGTCATATGGTGAATGAGTTTACGAAGTCCTGTAGTGATTTCAGAGTGAGAATCTTTGTAGTATAACTCATAGTAGCTAGAGTGTCCTGTGTTCTGTTTGGACTGGGTGGATGATGTAACTTCAGAAAACACAGCTAGAGAAGAGTACATTCCCCTCAGATGTTGAATGTAAGACATCAACATCTTTGTGGTCTACTGAAGGCTTATTTTAGTGATAATGGCCTAATATCTCTGGGCTCTCATTGATATTTAGATGAGCAAGACAGTTAGGATGAACAGAAAAAGCTTGCAGTGGCTTCAAGAAACACTTTTCACTTATGGAGAGAATTCTGTATAACAGATGATTCAAGGAATCACAGTTCAGATTTAGAGTTCTTTTCATTTAATGGCTACATCATAAGTAACTGGGACAGTATATTTGAGTAAGATAAAGGAGAACATCCGTTTCATTCCAGGCCGAATGTAGAAGGAATTATCAGCTGTGGTAAAAAAGGAGGGAAGCTAAGTTATTGTTGTCATAGCAGCAATTGTCATAATTGATATAATTAGTTTTCATTATGGAAAGTAAGTATCTTTCAGAAAATGCCTCTTGCACTATTTGTCAGTACTGACTTCTCAAGTTTTGAAATTTCAGATGTGGTATATCGGAGGGCTACAGTTGGTTTTGCATTTTTACATCATTTAGCAATATTTATTGGCTACAGTTATTTGACTTCTTTAGTAGTTATTGTCTTATACATTTCATTTACCTCCATTTTATTCAGGATGGTTTTCAGCAGAATAGCTGTTCAGAAACTGCTTGCTAGTAAATGCCGGTGTTACAGCATGGACGCGCCGGACGATATGGTCCTTGGGATGTGTTTCAGTGGCTTGGGAATCCCTATAACACACAGTCCACTTTTTCATCAGGTCAGAGAGTTATTTTTCAGTATTTAAAATATAATTCATTTTCTAAGCATGCACATAAAACAGAAATATTGCAAACTTGATCAATATGTAATAACGATAGCCAAGATACTGCTGCTACACCTTGTTTCTCTGCAGAACAAGACTGATCAAGCAAATCAGGAAATTCTCAACGCATGGATTACTACAGTGCTTTCCTAGTTTGTAGGGTATTTCAGTTAATTTTTAACTATATTTTATTAAAAATGCATTTTATAAAAATGCAGTCAGAGGTGGGAATTTTGAAAAACAAATAGAACTGGGAGCCTCATGCTTTGCATAGATGTCCTATGTCCTCTAAGCAAAAAAAGAAAAACACAACTACATTTTTCTTCGAGTAATGGAGAACTGACTGAAAATTTTCAATAAATCAGTCTTTTCTACTTATCCAATTCTTACATTGATGCAGTGATTACTATTCTGAACTATCTCATTAGTGAAGATAGAATATATGAAAGTATTCCCAAAACTGTTGCTTTTGTGTGGATTCTCAAGAATTAAGTAAATATGATAAATTGTCCTATACTAGCACAAGGGAAAAGAGAGGTCACAAAGCATAATTTTCACATGGGTATATTCTCCACTTCGAGAGAAGTGGGTTGGAATAGATTTGAATCTTGTTTCTGTCTTCCACAATAACTTCCACAAGCTAACTGTAGTGTCACAGTGGAAAACATGATGCGTTTGAGGCCTATAGAGATTTTCTGCCTTGTAAACTAAGTAAACCAAATCCTTCCATGGTATTCATGAGAAGCACTAAAGATCTTTTTCCCAAACAGTGCACAACACTTTTAAAAAACAGCATTTAAATCAGAGTAGTGTTTGATGTTTTTCAAGTGTTGATCTAGTTTAAGAACTGGGAAGACCTGTGTACCTGAATATGAACTGAGATGAAGCTAATAGGCTGTTTGAGAATTAGTAAATTACCATGTAGTTCAAAGCAGCTTTCCGTGGAGGGAAGGAGTTTGCTATTTAAATTATCAGGTTTCCCTGTGTTAAGATTCTCTTTCTGATTACATTTGCTATTTAAAGAAATGAGAAGACTGAGTACACACTCCTCTGTTTTAAGTCCTTGTCCATATAAAAAAAATCATACCTGTTTGCTTTTCTGCTTTGTTTCAAATTGCTTACTCCTTTCAGTATAGAAAGCAAGGAATACATACTATAAATTCAACAGTTATTGATGAATTTGTGCTTGCAGATGTGTTTTGAAAAAATAACCCATGCCCACCTAATTAAAGCAGAGTGGGAAAGAACAGAACTCGGTTTACAGATTTGTAGGAATGGCCCTTGTACAAATAAACCAGAGCACCTCCTTGTAACCTTTAATGGTGTGCATTTGATGATGAATCACTTTGAAAGTGAAATCCTAACAGTTTGATTTTCCACGTAGAAAATTAGTCTTAGTCTTGATTTATTATTCATCTCTACCATTGCTTATAACAATCCTAATTGGACATACCTTGAACAAAAATTAACCCTGTTGAGAAAAATACTGGATAAAAATTGAGTGTGCTTATTCTAAGAATTCTACTATTATGCAACAAATACTTCAAAAACTAGAAAACCAATTTTGGATGTTCTGTAAACCAGAAAATTATTTTAAAAGGCTTGACTGAAATATTGCTGTGTGCAATGTTCCTTGAAGTACATGAATCTAAGATTGTACTGATATCTTTGCTTCTGTTTCATTTTATCTGTATGTATCTTTATCCTCTGAGTGTCTGTGGTTTAGCAGTGTTTGCTCACTCTTGGTGGTTTCCTATTGGCTACATGCTAAGGTAGATACATATTCTGTAGCTTGTTTCAGAGGCTTTTGACATGATGAGACTCTTAAAGAAAACAGGAACCTTCCCATGTTGAGTAGCAGCCAGGATTGTGGTCTTAAACAGAAAATCTGGGCAACAGCAAAGTATTTGGCTTTTCTAGAATAACAAAGAAAAATTTTAGCTAAAACCCCAAAATTATTACATCAATAGATTACATAAAATGTAAGGAAATTTAGGGAATTTATATCCTATGGTCAGCCACCTATAAAGATATATGATTCTTAGCAATGGAATAAAAATTACAGTTATTAGAATAGACCCAATTATTTTAAGATTATTGATATACCAAAACATTGTCTGTAGCTCAGCAAAAAGCTGATTGATTTTTCAAACAGTGAAAATCTTTGGTCTCAGTTATCTGAAAATTCTCTCTCCCCTTCATCAGGTTTTTGAAACCTAAGTGTTCTTCAGAGTGTTCTTCAGAAGTCTCAGGGGTTATAGGCTCCCTCTTGATTTCTTCAGTGGAATTGTTAAAAATGATCTCTCTGTGGTTTAAATATCAAAATGTTTTAAAAATCCCAACTGCAACATATATTCAGATTTCATAATGTCAAATTCTATTGCCTAATGTTATGACCAGAGTGTATACAGAACTGCAGGAAGAACACTGCATGTAGACTTCATAAATCCCACCATAAGCAGGCAAAGTGTGCAGTGTTGAATCAGTTATTTGGTATCCAAATTACTCAGTTTTCTTCTTGTGCTTTATGTATAGAGAAAACCCACTAATGTTCGCCTTTCATGCATTTCTCTTTACAAAGGCTCTATTTACAATGGTAAAATGTAGCTGTTTTACCAGGGACCACTGCAGGTGGTGTGTTTTTATATAAGGATGCACTTACATGCCATTAAACTGCCAGAGAAAATGAAACACCCATGGTGCATCATGTAGCTGTGTTGTATTTCTGTCTGGATTGATACAGCCTGATAAAGAAGAACAATGCAGTTTTCTGGCACCACAAGGTAGCCTGCCTTTGAAATCTTTGCCTGTCAGAAAACTGAGTATATTCTGGCTGCCTGTGGCCCTGTTATCATCCTATAATCACACTGGCAGTGCTGGCAACTCTCATTAAGAGGAGGAGGAAGAAAATATTGCTTAATTTTGTCATTATTGAGCCAAAACTGCATATTTAACAAGGTGCAATACAAACTACATTGTTTATCACTTGTTTTCATAGATGGTGACTATTTTATCCTGAGAAATAAGGCATGTTTAATGTCGGTGTACTTCATTCATGGCATGATCGCTGCAGTGCGAGTTGAAGATCTAAATCAATGCCTATCAATTGATTTAATAGAAAGATGTAAGAACCCCTTTGTTACTGTCTTGAGTGTTCTGTCAGTGCCACATTGCTTTGTTGTGATACAGAGGCCATTGAATGGTGATACTTTGTTTTTTTAAAGATTTTCTTGATCACTGAGTACTAGTGGTTTTGGTTTATTCTTCTATCTTAGGCAAGGCCAATGGACTACCCAAAAGACTACCTTTCTCACCAAGTTCCAGTATCATTTCACAAGCATTGGAATATTGATCCAGTGAAGGTATATTTCACATGGCTGGCACCAAACACAGAAGAGTCACATAAAGGAAAAAAAGTTGGATATAACAGAGAGGATTTATAGGCAGTAGAAGGATGTGTTAATCAATGTTCTACTGATGAGAGACAGTCACGACTGTGATACTTGTTTTCATGTTCATCTGTCCATGACATAAGGAGACAAGGTTTTTTTCCTGTTGGTTGCATCCCTTCAGAACAATGGAAGAAGGCACTTAAATAACTTTCAGATTCTTTTGCTACATTTGATTTCTTTTTAAGATGTTTGTGGTCTTTGTACACCAATGAACTCAACACATTTAAAGTGTCTTGTACAATTTTACCTGTGTTCTGGTTTGGAGTTGGGTCAGACAGCATCGATTTACATTTCCTTCCTTTGTTCTCTCAAAAGCTGAAGTTATGTATATGAGAGCCTAATGTAGAACATGTGATGAACAGCTATGGAATATTGAACATAGAATTTGGGTCTTTAAGATGTTCTGGAACTGGTTCTTGATAAATCAGAGAGGAGACCTGACTTTGTTTCTGTGAGCAGGAGCTAGATTGTGTGAAGGCTGTGCTCCTTTATGCTCATTTCAGATAGAAATACTGTAGTTTCCTGGGATAGTTGGAGCAGGCACGAATCACTATTGTACCTTATAAGTTTATTAGCATTTTTGTGGAATGTCATGTACAAAATGGAGAAAAAGGTTAAGGACAGGGATTTCTTAAGTGGCCACGGGAGGTCACTGTGGCTCCTTTAGAAACCCAAGTCCCTGTGCATCTGTTTGGCAAGGATAAATGTGACTCTTAAGGACTTCTGCAGAACTCACACTTCAGTATTCCTGATGTGTGCATTTCAATAGCAGATGGATGCCAGCTTTAAAAAGTTTGTAGTATTCCTAATTTATATCATCAAAGTAAGTCATTTTATGCCTACAACTTGTGAAGAGTGATTCATATTTAAAACATTAATTAATTTTTTTGGGAGTAATTCAGTTTTGTAAAAATGTTTGTACAAAATCTGGTTTTAGTATGTTCTAAACTAATTTTTGTATTGTAAAACTGCATCTTTTAAGATGACAGTATATGGCACTTGTATGCTGTTACTTAACTTGGCTTGCTATATTGTAACCAAATACAGGGTCTTAAAGCCATACTGCTGAAGTAATCTGTGGGGTATTTTCTTTTAGTAGGTTAAAAATTGATTCCACTCCAAAGAAAAGCAATACCTGCTCTTGAGTTGAAGTAGGGGAGCCACTGATTCCTGTTTCAGTAATAAACTGAATTGTATAAACAGTTGTTTGTGAATGTAGCTTGTGGAATTTTAAGCATTGAATAGCAAGCACATATTCATAATAGATTCAAATTCTGGTTGAGTAGATGCAATCCACGTTATGTCTTTTTTTTCTTCCCACTTTCAGTGCCTTAAACAGTAGACATTTTACTGATGCCATGACTATGTTCTCCAGTACCATGGGTGAATTGTTAATTATGTTTTCTGTTTAGAGCTGTGACAGCTGAAAGCTGAATAAAAGCATTCTTTAACCTTTTGTGCCTTCTTCCTCTTTGTGAACCAAGTACAGGATTCTTTTAGCACCTGTGACATAATTTGGTCACCTCAGTTGTATTCAGTGTCAGTTGTACAACAATCCAGGCCCTCTGGAAGCAGAGGCAATCAGCTTTGGGTCCAGGCTGTGTTGCACTTGTAGGCTGCTGTCTTATTTAGAGGTTGAGAGCCATCAACTCACTGATTGATTGCTTACTCAGACTTCTACTTCTGGTCTGACAAATGTAATAGTAGCTGTCTTAAACTGTCTTTTCCCCTGTTGTTAGCCCTGGGTTTTACTGCAAGGATTCTGGAGGTATTAGTAAGCATTAGACTTTAGATTTTTCATCTTCGCAGTTTTGAAAGCAATGGCTATTTATTCAAATGTAATTTACCTAAGTATTCTGCCCCCTGAACTCTGACTTTTAAGACACAGCTAGTGATATGCAAACCTAGCAGCAGCATGACAAAAGTGACCTCTTATTTCATCAACTAAAAAACTTAAGAATTTTTTCAAGCAGAGAACAAAGTTTCTATAAGCAAGATGCATATTGTTGATATGAAATGAAAGGAAACATGTAGAATTCTGAGCAAAATGCTCCCTGATGATGTCATATCATCATACTTTTACTGAGGAAAGTAAGAGCACTGCCTGGTGCTGCTCTGGCTCTGAGGTCCCAGGTCCCACCAGCATGGTTGCTTCCCCCTCCCCACAGCACCAGTGCACACATCTACCCTGTCAGTACAGAACTCATTCACCTTTCCAGTCACATTGAGACTTATATCTTTAAGTAATTGTTTAATTCATCGAAAAATAGATTCAATATTGATTTGTCAGTAACTATTTTTTCTATTTCAATTTGCTTCATCTTACGTGCATGTATATAGAGTAGCATTTTTAATAGTCACACGGGGTAGCCACTGTGTAACTACTTGATTTAAATTCTGTCTTGAGAAGAAAACTCCTCATGCTTTTCAAATCTCAGTCTGTGGTTTACAGGAAGAGACCTGTGGGGCTGGTGGAAGCAGAAAGAGGTGAACTATCTGTTTGCATCTAGCTGCTTTTGCTGGTGCCCTTGACTTGTTTATTGTGCCCCTGTCAGTCAGGAAGCAGCTGTGTCTCCCCTGAAATCAGTTAATGAGATTTCTTCTGCTAGGACCTGCATTTGGATGGCAAGAATGAAAACTCTCCAGCTTTGGTGGAGTGTCTGCATTCTGGTTATTTCTGAGCACTAGGGGAATGGGCACAATAGAAGTAATTTATTCAAAGATGAAAAGGTAAGTAGACATTATGCAAATGCATCCAGAGGCCTAAAGGATTCACAGTCAAAGAAAGGAAGAACTGGTTTGGAAAACAGGCTATGCAGAGGAGTGATAGGAAATTACATCAATGTAGGTTCATGAAACATTCTCTATGGAAAATCTACAGGCATATACTGCTTTTGTAAGCTAAAAAAAAGGCTTAGCTATTCCTGTGAGAAATAAAATTTTTAAGCAATGTTTTTGTAAGTCTGAAGGCTTAAGAGCCTGACTCTTAGAACAACTCAAAAAAAGTTAAAAGCACTAGGTTGTTAATATTTTACAGACTTGACTTACAAAAAAACAAGAGTGTAAGCAATTTGTTAATTGTCATAATAAGAAGCCAATGAAGAAGGTTATCTGCTGGGAAAAATATTGTGCATCATCAGCTAGTTTGTGCCCACTTCTCTGGTATGAATTTTCAACAGCTGTGACTTTGTAGGAACATCTATTGCTCACTGATGCCATGGAATGAAGTCTTAAGGTGCCTTCTCTTCATGTGAAAGCATTAATTAAGTGGGCTGGTACATATGCTGTGCACTCAAATCTAATTCAAATAATTAAAAGATGCTGAAATAAAAAAGCCAACACCAACTATGGGTAATGTTAAAACACATTCTCAGCCATCCTTGCCTTTCACTTTTTTGAAATGTAGCAATTGTGGACCATGGTCAAACACAAAGGGGATGGGCCATGTGAGGTTTGGGCAATACACTGGGTATTTCCTCGGATTCTAGTTGGGGCATCTTCCAGATGAAGGTCTAATATCTTATACTGAAGTCCATCAATGTCTTCAACACAGAAACTCATGTGTTAGCCCTAATTCTACAGGCTCTGCACCCCATCTGCTTAGGCATGATAGTGTCTGGTACCAGCTCTCCAAAAGAGAGAATGGCAAGAAATACAGCACATATCCCTCAGGAAGGAAGGAAACTTTGTATGACTGAACCTGGTGAATTCCTTGATTGTCTTAAGGAGAGCTCTTACTGGGCCACCTTCAAGTTAACCATTCCCTGGCTAGCAAGGTAGCAGAAATGTTATGGAGTGTATCCCTCAGTAAACATAAATATGAAATAATAGCCTGTATCAGGTCAAGCTCAGTTGTAGCTCCAGAGGCATAAGTAGCTCTGTGCTTACTAAGAACAGTTGGTTACAAGTGCTGATGGGTGATGTTGGTGAATTCATCAGCCTTTTTTTTCCCAAAGACTTCTTAAGAGTACTTACTTTGCTAAGGTTCTGTTTGCAAGCTCCCTTCACTTGCTTGTGGAAAGATATATGGCTCTATTCATCAGGGGTATTTCCTTGAGGTAGCCCTTCACGTGTAACAGAGCAGGAGCTGTGCTCCAGGTCCAGTGCTCTGATTCAGCCTATACTGTGAGTCCCAGGAGCTCATTCTGCCCAGTCCTGAAGCTCTGCTGAGTTCTCAGTCTGTCTCTTGTCCTTACAAACCAAGTTAATCATTTGTTGTTCGCTTTCCAAGGCAGTTATTTCAGGCTAGAATTTTCCTGTTAGTGGGCTTTGTTAATTACAATGTATCTGGTGCTCTCTGTAGTCTGTCAAGTACAGTTTGTCTGAAAAAGATACAATTTGCTTTACAAGAGCTAGTGTACCTCTACCATGGCTTGCCACCTGTTCACCTAAGTGGTGTAATTAACACTTCAATAAACCTTGATTTTGAAGCCTGTAGTTGTCCTGCCAGTCTTTCAAAAACTTTAAAGTACTTGCTGCCTTTCTACTATTACTGTTGGTGTAGCTTATTATGAGTGTTTTCATGACCTTTGTGAGTAGTTCAGCCACTTCATTCTTAAAATCTTTCTGATTTTTTGAGTGAATATCCTGGAAGGTCAGATGGAATACAGTGAAGAGGATAGAGACTGTAGAAATGCAGAAGGGACAGGAAAGAAGTACTGCAGTTAAGCTGTAAAAATTACCAAAGTCTGTGCAGCTTTATATCCTCACATTAGTTTGTGCAGCCATTCATAGATGTAGATGCTGAGCTCCAAGCTGGACTCCATCTTAGCAAACCTTTCTGAGAAGTTCCTATCGTACTTATAGCTCTTAGGAGAGATAATCGTAAATTTACCTTAATGATGGGTAAACTCATGTTGCAGTTGATTGCTTTGATTCCTTGTGTGTAAATTTGTTGTTGTACTCCAGCCTCTGCAGAATTGGGCACCCACCTGCCCACAGGCAAGATCCCAAAATAGCTGAAACTAACAGCCAGTTTTAAACAACACTTCTCTTCCCTGCAAGACTGGTGCCAGCAGTGCTAGGAGCAGGAGAGCTGCATGAGCATCTTGATGC